GTTTCAGATCTTTTGATTACCGTCTATGTTGACATAAGAACGTCGAATTTGTCATCAGACATAATGGACAAGTTTTTACCATACCTTTATCTTAAGATAGGAGCAATAACAAGATCTGAAACATTTACAAGAAACTAGTCTCGTTAAGGTCTGTCTCTATGAAGAGTACCAAGTCAAAATTCGAAAATTAGTTTTCATGATATTTCTGTGAGGCACCATGGCTAGAACCCATCGAATTCAAAGTTTTCGGATCCGAAACTAATCCGACGGGCTCTAACTACGACATTCATTTAAAAACTACGGTAAAAGTGCAATATCTCGACATCAATAAGCTACAGACTTGAATTATCATTATCACAAGGAACAAGTGCTACTAGTTCACAAGTGACACTATCTAATCAATTATATCGTCAAGTAAAAATTGATGAAGAAAATCGATATTTAAAGAAAAAAATCGAAAACTGGTGCAAAAGTAATTCATGATAATGATGATGATGATGATATTTATCCAACTGTTAAAGTAACACATGGTGGTGAATTATCAGAAAATGCTACAGAAAGTGGAAATAAAGATAATGATAATGATGTGCGTGTTGAAAAAAATAAAAATATGGTCTATATCGAGCACTTAATATTGACTTAAATGAAAAATCTATTCAATCGATTCCTACACCATCACCATTGACATCTCAATTAAAAGAATCAGTTCCTAAACAAGTTGAAACACCTCCTATATTAACCGAAAAGCCAAAACAAGAAATCTAAGAAAAAGGAAATAATTGAAAAACAAGAACAATTATCAACATTGAAATCTAAACACAAACGAGGACGTAGTGATGATAAAGAATTATTATCACCAGCTGATGAAGAAGAAAATGGTCCAACTTCTACACCTTCTCCTCCTCCTCCCACTACTGCAGAGAAAACCAAAGTAAAAAAATCATCGCCAGAAACAATAACAATAGTATATACAAATACTTCTGTGCCACTCCTATTGGACATTATGACGGATGATATTCATTCAACAAATCAATCTGAGTAACAATACAATGAATAAGATACTTATAAACTAGCTGCTCAATCTGATAATTTGACAATTGTAAATTCAATAATTATCCTAGTTTAACAATAGATGAGGAAACTTCGTTAAGTGATAAAATGCTTTTGACATGAGTCTGATCTCATTAGATGGTAGACTCTATTGAGATTAGAGAAAATCTTCGTCTGATCATCTTTAAAAAACTTACTTTTGAGATATGAAAAGATGGAGTTCGCTTTTCTTCGTAACAGAATTTTCAATATTGATGTCTCAGGATAGAAGATATTCGGAAGTTTCTGACACTTACACAATGAATTAATCCTACCAAGAACTTGATTTCGAAGATGATCTGAAGAGAAATTCACTAAAATGACTATTACACAAACAAAAAGATCCATTCAGATTCTAATCCCAAAAAAAGTCAACTTTATCCATCCCTAACTCACACCAACGTTGGAGATATTACTTTTTTTACCATTGAAATCATTTGAATATGCATTTAAACAATCTGTTATAAATTTATTTTTAGGAATATTTGATTAATCCAGATCCATTAATAGCTCAAGTGGATGTAATATTTTTTTTTTAAATCGAACATCATTTATTATTGATCATATTAATATTCATGTTATTGATAGTATGAATGCGAAATTATTAAATACAACAAATGCAAATTTAATATCATTTCCATCTATAAGTCTTTTTCCTCATTCACCAAATTATATTCATATTTATTTTTTAATAAATGCTATATCATTTTCTCAAAACTTAAAAACAACATCAACTTATTCTATAAATGTATGTTGAACAAATAAAAAAAATACTTGTTATCTTCATTTTTGACAAATATATTTAGAAATTAAATATAATTGAAACAGA